ATTGCACAGGATCGGGACGATCGAGCACCCAAAACGTGACTCCGTGGGAGGGCTGCTTTATATAAACTCGATTTTACAGTAAGTTTGGATTGCTGTTTTGAGACCGAGGTGGCGACGATCTCTCCCCGCAGGTCTCATCCTTATCCTCCTCCTCCTTCTCCTCCTCCTCATCCTCCTCCTCCTCCTTATCCTTGTAGAAGATTAGTTGATCTTTCTTCTGCCACGCGTCAGTGGCATCACGCGCTTGATCTCTGGGACAATATTATTTTTATTATTATATCAACCAATCTCACTCAATTGCCGCTACAGTACAGACTCACAAATCACGCTTTGGGACGTATATTCACACGTACCACTATAAATTTAATTTATTTCATGGGGTTTATTAAGGTTAAAAAAATGCAGACATGTGCGACAATAAATAGAATAAAACTGGTTAAACGACTACTTCGACTTGAAATTATATTTTTAAAGGGCAATAATAATCGTAATACGCATATAGATTGGGCGACATGACATAATATTTTAATATAGGTACATGTTATGTTAAATTAAAAATATGACGTTATCTATCAATATATGTTTTTAAGCTACAGGTAAAACATTGTTATAAAGAATCCTAGACGAATAAGTAGTTCTCTAAAACAAATGTTGAGAATAGCTTAACATTTATTTTAGCATGAATTTTCTTCTATAACCATCTAATGTTTTTATGCAAGTTTAAAAAAAATGTAAAGATTTAAAAATAATTATTGTATTATATAGGTTATGGTTTGAAGGAATGTATTGTAATTTAAAAGTGTTAATTTACAAATAAAGTTTCCACGTCCTCAAAGAAATAAGGAAATATTATAAAGCAGTGAGGTGACCAAATATGGCCCGCCAAAATATTAAAATTAAATCAAAATTGAAAAAAAATTATTAAAAATGTAACGTTTGTACAATTTAATATAAATGAGTATTTCCAATTTCATTTATATTATTTATAACAAACGATAAATAATTAAAATTATCAGTGTACCTATATTAATTAAGACGTACCTATAATAAAATAAAATATTTAATTTAATTAAAAGTTTAAATTCTAGGCCCACCAAGAATTTTTTTATTTTTTATGGCCCTTGGTAAAAAAAAGGTTGGTCATCACTGTTATAAAGTGACATAGGTACCCATTTTTAAGGCGGATGACCAAAAAGTGAAATCGGACTTGGGCCACTTGAGAAGACGCGTTCACGATGTATTGGTTTTACAAAGATAGCTTTTTACGATGGAAAATCAATGAGGCGGAGTATAAGTCTCTCCATATCTTGTTTATGCTCTATATTCTTGGACAAGTTTGACATAATCTGTTTGGGTTAAGCTTCCAAAATCGCTAGAATGTAGAGAGGTTAGGGGTTAAGATGTTGATATGTAAAGTAAGTGATGTATATATAGTATATATTTACATACCAAACAGATTTAATACCTGTTATTTTGCTTTGAGAGTTAAGTCCAGAACTGCATAATAAACTTTTCGGTTTAAGTATAAGAAACTATTCTCAGAAATACTATCTTTTGAATTACGATGGCTTCACTAGAGTTACCTACTGTAAGAATATTATTAATTACAACTTAACAAAGTTAATTTTGTTTATTTTTTAAAGAGATAAAGAGACCAAACTGAACCATCTCATGGTGAATAAATTTGTGAATCGCGGCCAATGTAAGTATAATATGTACACAAAATTACATAGTAGTATGTTGTCAATAGTAAATAAATATTACGTGTATACTAACTACTGAGATATGTTAATTTTAATATTAATACAATATTTATCTACCTATTTATGCGGATAAATAAAAATAATCTGGAGATGATTAGTTTTAGTAAACGTTTTTATAAATTTAAATTCAAATACTAAAATAAAAATGACAATATATAGCATAAATACCTTAGTATACTGCTTAATTCTATAAAGTATTATATGAAATAGACACTTTAATTCTCCGTAATGTGTTACCATTACTTATCATTAAGTATTTTTATTTTATTTTAAAATAATAATAGTAGGTAACACCTAAATAGTATACTGCCGTAGTTATTTCACGATGTATCAAAGATAATTGTGATGAGCAATGCATAATCATAATATATTATTATACAGTAGGTATGTCCAATATATTATGTAACACTAAATATTTCAGCCCAATGACCTTGGATTGAAGTACAAATTGGTGTGACGATTAGAGTGTATAAATGTACACACTTTGGGAAAATTTCACATTCAATCCGAATCCATAAAAATCATTCAAAAATCGAAAAAAAGGATTGGAAAATTTAAAATAGCTGTAACTTGGTAAATTTTAGGTTTAGAACCATCGCAGATGGATCAAAATTCCGTTAAGAAAATTTACATCTATATCCACATCTAATGAAAACAGTAATAATGTACAAGCGAGGACTGTAATAGTTTAAAATGATGAAGTTTTCCAAAAATTGGTATTTCTGACTTCGGTACCACTGGCATTCACAGCAAACCATACAAATCTAACTTGGGTATCGGAGTGATCCGATGTATTTAGTAGTAGGTCGTAGGTACCTACATATAATATGAGACGATACATACTGTACGTTTAACTGAATATACTGTATAATAAATGTGTATTAAGAATTAAAAAGCCAAGTATTTGTTGATAGCATGTTTAATCAAAGCGTATACAAAGATAATTTTTCATACTAAATTCGTTAATATTCATTACCTTATCCTATTAAAAAATCAACAAGGTTCTTTTAGGATGGATAACGTTGGACATTTTAATTATTATTAATTAAGTCTCATCATACGCATGACTATTTAGTCCATTTAAATTAAATATATTTTCCTTAATTTGAAAATGTAAATCGTGAATTAATTATATACTTAAAAAGCTTTGATATAAACGATATAACGTGGAATTAAATTAAATTAAAAATATGTATTATAAATACAGATGACGTTATTCGTTTACCTTTGAGCGCTTTGCAGAAGGAAATTATATGTTAAATACATATTATATTTTTTTTACTATGGCCGAGTGGTGGGTTGATACATTTTAAAATTTATATTTTAATTTACGAGTTAATGTGAAGGTAGCAGTGCATTCAAAAAACGTAGGTACATACATATTTATAAATCGATATCGGTAATCGCATTATACAATTATTATTATATTATGGTCGTTATAAAAACAAATTTATGCACACACTAGGAAAACTTCAAAGACTTATGATAGTTATACATAATTGTTTACATGTAGGAACAACTATGGCAAGCTGTGCCAATCTACAGTCTAGTTTTTTGGTTATTATTGTATACCTACGGGTGCGTCACAACCCAGGGCACATTTAAACATAAATATCAAAGAAAAGAGAAAAATACAAATAGCTTTGGTGGATTTATTCAGAACGAATAAACGAATAAATTACACAAATATACAAGTTACATACATATAAACGATTACAACTACGACGACGACGAATGAATTAAATACTCGAGTTTACATATTATTTGTCGACTAAATATACACATATATATATATACCTGAGTCATGATTGTTTGGATAAAATGAACTTTAAACGACGAAGCAACATTCGTTTATGAAAATTGAATTTTGTTAACAATGTTATGACTTGTATACTTTACACTCAGTGGTGTAGTTACGACGAGGGTGGGGGGGGTGTATACATTTTAAAATATTTATGAGTTACGAATTAAACATGTAATTAACCTTTCGTCAGAAAAAAATCGTATCCATGCCATTGTATTTTAGTCGAGTACGCTTAAGCGTAAGAATTCTGAGAAATTTGGTATGTACATTTCATTACCTACTAATTTTGGCCATAGGTTCCTTCATTGGAAACGCACAGTGTTAGGAATGCTTAAATGGTACACCTACATGACATAATATAGGTATAATTCATACATTATGTACATAACAATTCGCCGCATACAGTGAAAATTTTAGTTTATGGATATTTATTTACAATTTTATATTATTTACATAAGGGATTTTCACTAAGCGCATAACAACCAAAAACTCTCGCAGTGCAGGTATATCGAGTTACAAGAGACACAACAACAAGATGTATTCTGTTTAAGCCCGTCAAGGCATCGGCATCAACATGTGAAACGTATTGCATTAATCAAACTGTTTTTCTTTTTAAATGTTAGTCAGTTTATCCGCTTATCAACTTTGATTATTAAACCATAACTTCTACAATAAATTCTAATTTATAATTTCATAGTCTGAAGCAGAGGGTTTTATGAAAAATGTCGATGCATAAAATATGTCAAATATTTAACTTACAGTTATTTAAGAAATTTAACTTTAGATGAGCCTGTGTAATATGTATATTTGCTTTCGTGCTAAGGATACTTGACATTTATAGATAATATGCGTAAACGAGTACTCAAAAAGTCTAGAACATTATCCAATATATTTTTATTTTTATTGAAGTAGGAAAATTTACAAAGCATATTCATACACTCAATAATCAAATAGCAAGACTCACGTCCAGAGACACACTTCAAAGATTCAAACTCGGGATTATATTTACACGAAAAGGAGATCGTGTATCTTTAAAGACGATTTCCTAATTTAATATATGTTTATTTTTTTTAGAATTTCGTATAGAAATGGGAGCAAGTTGGTATAATATAGTGTTTGGATGTCGAGGTCGTGATGTAATGTGAGGCGGCTAACCTACCAATATGTAGTGTTCACAATCAATAAATCTACGAATGGTTAGATGTTTTAGTGTTTCTTGTCGTGGATAAGTGACTGTAGACTGAGCACTAATTTTCATTTTTCTATATATTCTGAATGCACTAATTGAGTACCATAACGTTTGACGTATTTGACGATAAAGTGGGAACTAGTGATTTGACGTTATAACTCCAAGGACTCTCTAAAATCTAAATGCTATCTTTTACAGGTGTATTCGAGTACAATATAGATATTATAAAACCATCATAACTCACCAGTGTTCCTGTAAATGGCATTCACCCTCTGCACGTGTCTAGTCATGACTTCAATGCATGTCTCTTCCCTGCCGTACTTCTCGTAGAACAGGTGGTCGGCCTGCAGGTACAGCATACACGTGGTCTTCCGGTTGTCGACGAACCCACCTAGCCCCTTCTTGTGGTTCTCAAACGGATTGTAAGCACCGCTGTCGTCCACCACCAGGTTGCTGCTGGCCTCGTCACCAGCCACCGCAACTAGTATCTTGCGCTGATCGTTTGGGTCGTACCAGTTGGGCTTCGGCACGGACGTTTTGCTGGTAGCCGACTGCCTGCTACGGTTCACGATGGTTCCGTTTGGCGACCTCACCAGAATTACACCCTCCGTGTCGTACGTCTGGTTCACCAGCCTCTCGGCGTCAACGTGGCCGTTGTCAGCCGACCGGCGTTCGCGCAGCGCCTCCGACCTGCAACCGCCGCCGGCCGACTTCGGGCCGGCTACGTCCGATAACCGGTACGCAACGCTGTGGTACGGTAGCACCGAACCGTCACGGTCGACATACCGCGATGAAGGTTCCACGAAGTATTCCTCGGCTGCTGTGCTGATGGTGCCGTCAAACAGCCCGTCGGACGTCACGATGCCACGCACGGTCACCGTCTCCTCGTCTGCAAAAAAACCGAAAATCAAACCAATGAAATTTATCGTTATCAAATTACTATAAATTATTATAATACATGTATTGGAATTAATACGACGCTCATTCCATCCCATTCCATGTTTTTTTTAAATAAAAATGGGAATAACTGTAAACGGTTATAAAAAAAAACCAAATTTTCGGTTCTTCGTATAATAGTGTTTTCAATGTTTGGGTACGACATAATATATTGAGGAGAGTGCGTGGTTTTTCGTATTTTTTTTGTTGTAACCCACCGTGTTTAACATCGATCTGTAATTACGGACTGACAAAAAAAAAATCTGAAATACTGTAAAGGGTTCGTAGAGTGTGTGTAACGCGTGCGTCGTATACAGACTAGGTAATTTCTGACACGTGGATAAGTGTTTATGAAACAAATACAACTCCTTAATGGCATGTCGCATGTGCGAAACGTTCTGTACCGCTGACAAGCATTTAAGCCACGATAAACGCTATAATTATAAGCTGTCATTGATTATATATTTCACCTAATTTAGAAGATTCAAAACAAGATATAACGCTTGGTGATGCCGTTATAAACACCTAGGTAGGTACATATGTTTAAACCACAGACCACAGTTATTTATAATTACAGGATTCTATGTTTTTGGTGTGACAATGATTTCACACGAATAAATGTACTTGAATAGGTTTTTTGATATAGATTTGCGTTGTTATAAATCATAAAGTCAATTTAATCCATTTTCTATTTTTAATTTGTAAAACACATAAATTCAGTACTTTTATTTAAAAATATGTTACATCAATAACATTATGATGTATTTCAAAAAAAGTTGTTGGGAATGATTGATTTAGATATTACTTCATGATTGTATAAACAATCATTAAACATTTAAAGAACCAATATTGATCTAATTTCCTTTAAACCTGATTTAATGGCTCATATGATCGGTACACTAAATTTTGGTGAACCATTTTATTAAAACGTTCTTTATGCAAGTACCTAAGCACAAGAAATATTTTTAAATTATAAGTGTGTAATAAATTATAATAACACACTCAAGGTGAAGTTTAAAAAAGCGAAATATGTACGAAAAAATTGAAAAATGTGAAAAAATGTTAAATATGCAAAAAAATGAATAAATAATGCATAAAAATTATACAAAATTCTCAACAATAAAAACATTCAATGTTGTTATTAATACACACAAAAACAAGTGTAATAATACTATGGAAAAATAATTTTATGATACTTAAATTACGGCTCAAAACTGGTTGGTATTTTGAAATTTTATTGAACTGAAAAAATAGTTTAAAAAAATATGTTTTCAATACATTAAACGAAGTTGAAGTAATACGAAATAAATACACGTCTGATAACACCTGCATTAAAACAAATATTTTCTTATAAGATTTGCGAAATAAAGAAATTAGTATTTGACTGTGATGATAATAATGAATGCCTAGGTAAAATGAATAGTATTGATTTTTTCACTCAATATATTATTCAAAATATTCACAGGTTGAGAAAGCAAAAAATTATTACTTTTTTTTAGAAAATATTAAATAGGTATTTATAATATACGTAAGAAAATCAAGAAATATGTATTTTTTTCTCCAAATTGACAAAATATCCAAAATACGTATTTTTAATTATCAATTTTTAATCTCATCATTGTGTAGCTTAAATTTCTAGCTTCGTCTGCTATAAATCGATACCATATAGAGCATATAGAGCAACTCTTACAACATCAGAGCCCTAGTTATAATTTGTTTAACAATGTAGTTATCCAAGATATAAATATAATTGATAAGATTATAATATGTAATAAATATTCTAAAAATTTTATTTATTCATTATTTTCATGAAAATTGTTTTTTCATGGTTGAATGTGGATATTTAACTTATAAAATATAGTAGGACCTTTTAAAGAGAGGAAATATTTTCATAATTTTAATACTGTAAATTTCGCTATACTATATTATACAAAGTTAAATATTTATTATTACATTTCAAACTTCTATTTGTTTAAAACCATTAATAAATTAAAATAATTTCTAATTAAAAACTAAAATAATCTGGAGAAATGGAAGAATAGAATACACAAAATAAATAAAATAATAAAATGTATGTAGGTACAGCTTATATTGTTAATTTTTATTTACAAATGCTTGTTTGAAAATCGATCACGTCACAGTAAATATAAAATAAAAATAAAAATAAAACTAAAGTCAAATCATAAAACAAAGTAAATAAATTTAAAATATTCACGACTAAAATGCTTAGTCAATCACTATCATAATGGATAGAATATATTTATTGTCTGCTTTTAAATATTTTAAATATTTTTTTTCAATATTACAATAAAAAAAGTTGAAAAACAATTTTTATGTAAAATGACCAATTGTAACAAACAATATTTTAAATAATAATAGTACAGTATTATTTTTAAATACTTTTTTCATCTTCAGACTATTATGACAATAAGACATCGAATTATGGGATTCAGCCAAACCTGAGAATATTCACCTATAATACAACTTTTTCAGCCCATAGCCTTAACTCTTAATACCTATTAAAGGTACCCCCATAGTACATAAAAAAATGCTGTCCTTCATAACGACCTAAAATAACCTGAGTAACCTAGAAAAACTAACGATCTCGGGAAAAATCATTGTAAAAGATTCCACTAAAAATTAACAAACCACATCAATCATAATATTAACAACAATAAATCGTCCTTCACATTATCACAAAATATAATATACCAACTATTAAAAAGAAATTGGTCCAGAGACCTAGTATAGTAAAAATTCTAGTTTAAATAGTGTTAAAAATATTTTTCAATTAACAAAAATAATTATTATTATATTTTGTTGATTGATTAACAGGATAAAGATTTATAAACAACTTAAAATATGATTTGTAAAAAATCTCTTATCACCCTCCATCAAATAGGCCACTGACCAAGGTTAACATAAGTAATTCTGAGGTTCAGACACTGAATGTTTCTTTTCGAGTGTTTTATGTTACTTTATTGTACACTAAGTTTTTACTCATCTATGTTACTTATTGTTTATGTTTAACAGAATGTGCTAAAATATACTGTTACCTAAAATTTAAACAAAACAAAGTAGTGGTTGTTTAAATTTTTGTAACATATTAGACTTAAGTTAACAAGGGTGTACATGCGTGTACTAAAAATTAGAAATATTATTACTATTCGAAAAGGACAAATTATATATATACCTATTACCTATTTATACCTATATATCGTGCATGCGACATACTGAAATGTCTACAGAATGTAGCTATGAAAGTGTATTTGAATATTTCCTATTCATCAAAGAAATTCTTAACATTTTTTGTTTATCGAAAGTCAAAACTCAAAAACTGAAATAATATTTATTTTTAATTTTGTAATCTTAAAGCCATTATCACATATAATTGGATGGGTTCACTGAATAAAACACTCAATCTGTTTTTAATAATGTTGTCTTTCAACAGTATAAAGATCGAATAGACTTTTTCAAGTAACCCAATTTATTTTTGCGCATCATAAGTTCTTGCCAACGTAATCAGGTTATTGTTTGGTTCGCTTTTTATCCAATCGATGCTGAATTTTATTTTATGCAAGAACAGACATTTGAATATAAAATTACTTTGTCCCTGAATTATTTATATTGTACGCGATGTTTTCCGAGAATACCAACAACCCACAAAATTAATTTTCATATGTCAATTTTGCAAGGTATTTAATTAAAAAAAGATCTTTATTCTTATTTAATACTACTGTGAATTAAATAATAATATCTTTATGAACTTACGACGGTGTATTGTTAAACTTGTGTTACGTGAACTTCAAAATGTCTCTCAAGGTGACAATATTTTTAAGAAAAAATACTTAGGATTCCGCTTTCAACATTTAGGTTAAATAAATCCATGATTATAAATATTATTAGTTCAATATTAACAGTGATGTGTTCGTAGAGTAGGTAGGCACTAGGCAGGGCAGGCTACCCGTTGAAAATGTAGTCTTCACAAAAGCCACAACTTCCTTATTAATTATAGTGTTGTATTCTCATATTATAGTGTTTCACGGATATGGCACGAATTAATTTATACGCAATAAATTGTGTCCATATAAGGCTTAAGTAGTTAAGTGAGTAAAAAATACTGAATACTATAATTTATTAACAGGAAAACGTGGTTTTATACTTGTATTATAATGTATAGTATATACTCAAATTAATTTTGAATGAATGAAATGCGCATGTAATATATTATTTATTACATCTTTGTGGAAGTACCCCAAAAAATTAATTTCCATTAGAGAATAATTATAGCTTACACTGGGGTAGGTACCTATAATTCAGAGGCAGTCAAATGGGAGGTGGGTGAGGGGAATAAATTAGCAAATTGGATTTTTGACTCAAAACTTAAAAAATGGTAACAGACAATCTTAGATACAGGTGACAAAAATAACTGCAGATGACAAAGTGGTCTGTTATAGCAGTAGGGCATGTCACATGACACATGCTTATTCTAGTTACCGCGAACTACATAGGTAATTATTAGGTACAGTCACTGCATTCTAGTTGCGCACTATATATTATGTAGTACCTGTACATGGTAAACAGTGGTTAGCAATACCAAAAAACATTACAGTAAATATAATTTGAAATTGTCCACCATATTATAGAAATACAGGTACGCATGCAAACATCTCATATTACGGAATACCGTTTTCAAAAATGTATAATATGCAAAAAAATTCAAAATTCTGGGGAATAGATCTGATGTATAGTAGGTACTAGGTGTAGAGTGTGCCTTTTCATTGAGTAGGTCACTGTTATGAATGTAATAAATTTGAATTCGATGATCAATAATTGTATACTGTGATATTCTGAGCGGAGATAGTCTGTTAGTCTATACTTCGAAGGATATTTATATTGATTCTATTAGTGCATTTTTGACAATAACAAATCGCATAAGTAGATTTTAATATA